TATAACATTTTATGGACAGATGAATCAAATTTTTCAACTTCAGGCATTTTTAATAGAAGAAATAGATATTCGGAGGAGCAGAAAAATTATAGAAAAAGAAAAATTTGCAACAAAAAAAAAATCAATAAATGTAGATATGGTGCGGAATACTTAAAAACAAAATAGTTGGACCATTGTTTTATGATTATAAATTAACTGGACAATCATATTTGGACATAGTCATTACAGAAGTGGATGAGTTATTAAATCAAAATTATACACAAAATCAATTAAATAGTATGATATGGCAACAAGATGGAGCACCGCCAAATAATGTCGTAGCCGTTCAAGAACATTTAGATAATCAATTTAATGTGTGGATCGGCAATAAAGGTAACATTATATGGCCACCAAACAGTCCCGACTTAACACCATGTGATAGCTTTTTATGGGGGTTTTTAAAAGAAAATCCTTTGTTCTTTAGTTTTATTCAAATACAAATATTAACACTATCACTGCAAAGTTCGAGCTGAAATTGAAAATTTAAATGGTCATAACAAGTCATTAATTTGGTTGACTTTCTAAATATATTTTTTTCTTATCTTAGTATAGTATAGTAGTACCATACGCCATTGTAGCACAAAAATAATGCTACACTATGTTATATATTTGTTATCAGGAAATGCAGGGCTACTCAAAACTATAAAAAAATACAGGGTGTCCCATTTGCAATATGTAAAATGCATTTTATTGGACACTCCCTGTATACAAAATTTGGTCTGTTGCTACACTGTTGGTTGGTACGGTACAGATAAAATAATACAACTTTTAATTGAAACTTTTTTTGTATTCCCGAAATTAAGAAAAATAAGTGGGGGCTCAAAATATAATGAGAAACCCTGTACCCATTGTTAAATATACACAGTGTGAAAAAGAATCTAGTTCACAAAAACAATTATTTTGTCAATAATGTCTACTTTTTTTTGGTAATTACCGTTTTTAGATGAATATCTGTTATCTTAACTGGAAATACCCTATTTTGTATATTATCTGACATTGCAACTTGACTCTTTATTAATAATATTATTTGGTGGTATATTTTCTTCCTATTTGCTTTGTACTTCTGACAAAGACTTAAAATCTTATGGGTATATTAAAAAAACAAAGACTTCTGGCGTTTCGTTTTTCAAATTAGAAGCTGAAAGCTTTTCGTTATTGAAGAAAACTAAAGACAGGACATTTCTACTGATATATTAAAGGTTAAACCTCAAAATTATTATTAAATTTATAATTTCTTGTAATATGGAAATGTTTATATTTCACATAATCAAAAACGAGATATATATTTTATCGTAAAGTGTTATAAGCATTGTTAAAGCTTCTTTCTTTCCTTGCTCTTGTGTTTTCACTCTCTTTCTTCTTCTTTCTCCCACTTCGGCTTTCACCCTCCATCTTTATTTCTCTTATCTACGTGGTGTTGTTGAACTTTCATCTATTTGCTACTTTCGGTTATATAAGAAGTTGCTTGGAACTTGTTTTTTAAATGCATTTTAATGCATAATAATATTCACATTACTCTGAACTTTTTTTGTTAACACTTTTCTATACCTATTGTGATCCGTTTTTGAGTTTTAATGGTTTTTATATGAAAATTGCACTTTTCTACCATGTATATAAAGTTCAATATCCTTTAATGTAATTTGAATAAAAGTTTAAATTCCTTAGGAACTTATTAAGCACATATAGCGTTATAGTTTACAGTGTAAAGTTGTCTTAGTATACAGGGTACTGCAAAATTGGCATAAAACCGGCATCCTAAATTTTCACCTAATTTGTTTTTCAAATGGGACACCCTGTATGTGATTCGTTATTTTAGAAAAGTATGTTTTTCACTATCGATCTGTATTAGTATATCCTAGACCTATCTCTTGGAATTCTCTAAAAAATATACTGTATACATTTTTGGAGCAAAAACAAATTTTCGTAGACTAAGTATATTGTGTTAATTTGCAACTTTCATATTGTAAGTTGAACATTGAACAATTGAAGCTATAAACATTGAGCAATTAAAAAGATGTTATCAAAGAAAATAGACACTAGCTTATTAATGTAATAAATGTTCAAAATGTTACCCATCAACATCCAATCATTTATGAACTATTTAAATCAGATTTTCATTAGCTCAAATCAGATCATCAGATCAAATTGATATTGATTCCTTGTCTATTTCATTAAGAACTTAAAGGACTTTATTTACTATAGCTTCCTCAGTGGTCACAGGTTCAGAGAACACCTTATTTTTAACATATCTCCAAATATAGTAGATATACTAACGGTGACAATGGGATCTTGGTAACCAAAGAAACGGATCTTTATTTGCTATCCGTCTATCGCTAAATACTTCATCAAACAATTTGCCGACTGCTCGAATATTGTGAACCGGTGCTCCATTTTGTTGAAACCAATCCTTGTTAGCCTTATTATTATGTAAACCGTGCAGTACTTGTACAATTACTTGCCGTAAAATGTTACAGTAACTCTCTTCGTTTAAATTTTCGTCATAAATCATGATAGCGACCACCTTATTATTTTTCACACACAAAATTGAACGAAAAGAATGCTTGAAATGAAACTGAAAAAACGAAGTTCCAATTAACTTCTGCTATAACCGAAAGTAGTAAATAGATGAAAATATTTTCATTAAGTAGATCACTCTTCAAATCCCCTTCGTTCCAATTTTCGTGATTCAGTTACTTTTAGTTCTCGAGATATTTTTAATTGACTGTTTATCTGCCGCACCTTGTAAAGTATTTTAAGTAAGATATTTTTGTCACTAGATCAAAAATATTGATTTCGAAATGTCGATGTTTTCTAAATTATCAATTACTTTGTCAATAATATCTACGTTTTCTTTCACTTTGAACTCACGTAGAAATATTCTATTTTGTATATTAGCTAACTACGTAACAACCTGGCTTTTTACCAATAAAATTATCGTTTGGTGTTATACTTTCTTCTTATTTGCTTTGTCCTTCCGACGAAGACTTGAGACATTAAATATTACAAAAATGCTTTAAGCGTTTGATTTTTAAATTAAAAGCTGAGAGCTTCGTTATAGAAGAAAATTAAAAAGAGGACATTTCCATTGTTACCATAGGTAAAACCTCAAAATTATTATTAAATTTATAATTTTTAGTAATGTGCAAATGTTATTGGAAACGTATATATATATATACAAATATATTACACAAACCTTAGTCAAAGCTTGTTTCTTTCCTCGATCTTGTGTTTCCCTTCTCTGTCTTTCTTCTTTTTCTCTCTTTGACTTTTGTCCTTAATCTTTCTTTCTCTTACCTAAGTTTTGTTGAACTTAGGTATATACCTGGTTATATCAAACTCTAGCTTTTATGCCTTGAAATGCTTAAGAACATATCGGTATCGTAGCCTAGAATAACATAAAAGAATACTATGGACTTGAAATTAAAATTAGTAATGATGTTTTGATGTCTCCGTATGTACCTACCTATTACATATGCAACCAGTAATACACTACAAACACCACTCACTGTTTTATTATTTCAATTACTAAATACAATATGGTATGTGATATAACTACCTATATGATAAAAAATGAAAAAATAACGTTACTTTTTGTAACCATTCTTCTTCTTCTAGTACTGAATCTACTAATGAAGGATGAACCATTGCCAATTCGTATCTATCTTCTGTTTTCTTAAAAACGTCTGTGTGTTTAACCCAGTCAGTCGCGATTTTTTTTCAGCCAGGATATTTGTCGTCAACATGACCCCCTTTTCCTTCGATTTTACTCTTCATAACTAGCTACAACAACCGGTAGTTCTCATTTCTAAGTTTGTGCCCCAAATATGCTATATTTATATACAGATTGAGACTTTGGTTACTTAGAAATTTCTTCATCTTCAAAAAGCTGCTCTTGATACCTATATTCTTGATCGAATTTCTGATTCCGGATTTAGATCTTCAGTAATGAAGACTCCTAAGTAGGTACTTTATTTTGTCCACTTGTTCAATATCTTCATTTTTTGTCTGGCTCCTTGTTATGATTTTACCTCTATTACTGATATCCATGGTTTTTGTTTTCATTATGTTTCTTGTTAAACCCAACTGTTTTCCAGTATCACAAATTGTGTTTAGTAGCATCTCCAGGTCCTTCTCACTTTCACCGATAACGACTGTATCGTCGACAATTACAGTAACTGTTAACATAAATGTTATTTATATTTTCACCATTTATTTTGATCTCTTCTATATAGTTTTCAAGTGCTCGTGTAAATAATTCTTCGGAGTAGGTATATATTGAATAATAATGGTATCCGATATCGGACCGTGAATGGGCTTGCAGGATTGTTGGAAATCTAATTGTAGGAGTTGGTACAACTCGTACACATTCAATAATTTTAATAAAAGTCAAAGAAATAGTTGGTCTCCATGATAAGAAAACTCCACATACAATTGTAGACTCAACAGGGAATATGTTGAGTCTGTTCAGTTGAATATGTTCTTAATATAAGAAAAACGGACAGTAGTTCAAGATAAAGAACTAGAAATACTAAAGGTAGAAGTACTGGATGTTATTAAGTTGGGCAAAGAACAGGAAAGCTGTTTTTTGTAACAAGACTTTCTTGAAAATTGGCAAAGAAGAGGAAAAGGGCGGTTTTGTTTTATCTTTAAAATAAACGAGTTGACAGAGGAGGTAAGACTTTATCCCCTCGCTCTCTACAGTTAATAAATAGATCGTATTACAATTAAAAACTTTCATGTTACATTTCAAGAGTTTCTTGTCAAATTCAATATTAACGGTTATTTTATAAGAACTTAGATAGGTATACGTCTAGTATATAGCTATCTATAATTATAGGTGTCAAATATACATATTCTAATATTAACTTTATTTGATTACGTCGTATTCGGATACATTTTCACTACTGGCTCTTTAAAGGTGAGTTTTTGTGCAATTCCGGCAATAATACTGAATATTTTAGGAATAATCCAGACGAATATGATCACATCTACAACATTATCGTTAATTGGCATCGCAGGAAAATTAAAGATGAAGGTAAATAAAAAATTATGAAATTAGTTTTTTTCTGATTGAAAATAAAAATTTCTGGCATTAAGTACTAAATGTAGGCTTCTGCGGAATGTTTTCTGGAGTATATTTGGCATTTATATCCTTCGTATATGCCATCTGTATACGTCGCTTGATCCTAATCAGTTTAGAAATTTTCTTATTATTAGTCGAAACACGAACTATTTTTCGACTTGCAGAACACATGAGATTGAAATATGATGAATTTTGTCAATATAGGCAATCGAAATATTGATAAAAAACAAGAACCCAAGGGTTAAATTATTTATACCATAAGTTATAAAATTATTGATGCGATGGAAGAAAAACTTCCTTAACACAGTTTACAAACCCCAAAAACAATGCAAAATCTATAATATTGTTTCAACACTAAATTGTTCTGGGTACAACATGAAATAAGTGTATATATATTTTTTTATTTTTTAGACTAATTTAAGTACATTATCAATCATAAAAATTGATAGTCATATATGATAGCATAGGTAGTCATAATTATAGCACTATAAATTCTTTTTAATTTCTTATTTTTTTGATGCTACACAAAAATCAGTCATTTATATATCTGCAAAAATTGTTGAAAATTATACAGCTTGGACCAATATTCCATATTTTTTCAGGCTACCTTGATATTATAAATCAATAACATAAAATGAACATATTTCATGATATTCAGGCAATATTAACAGAAAAAATTATAAATCATTCAAGGGAATAAACTAGCAAACCTGCTGGCAAAACGAACTTCTAGGGAAACATATGAAAGTTCAGAGTCATTATCGGCATAAGATGCGGTAAGGAATATGATCACATGTGGCTAGGAAAAGTCAAACAAGAAATAACTAGTCATACAAAAGCTTATCTGTATGAAGTAAAATACTGGAAATATTCAAAAGAACCGTTCATCTAGCCTCAAGAATTCCAGTTAACAAGGGAGCTTTATCGAAAAGAGAGAAGTTGCTCTTGGTAAACAGAAGGGCAGTTCCAGAGCAAGGTTGTAAATAAAATGTTGGAAAATATAATATTAGAATATGTTTTTTATCTCCACTGTCATATTTCTTATTTTTAGTAATACAATATGGGAAACTTCATTTGGGTTCAATCCTTTACAATAATAGTTCAAAAATAAACATAGTAACATGTGATTTAAATTTAAACATGTTTTTATTGATTTTTTAAGTAGTACCTTTTATATTATTGCATATTCGTATGTTTCAATACTTTTTCTAAATCCTTTACCCATTTACTCGCTAGTAGAAAAATCCGGCAATGCCGCACCGAAAAGAATATATAAAATTTTAGTAGCTGATGATATTCAGTATACTTCTATATAAATCTTTGCCGTCATCTGTAGCGTTTTGGACAGCCTAATAATATTTTTCAGCCCCATCTACTTTTCTGTTTAAATACTATTAAAATAATTAAAGTTTTTTTAATGAATTCTTCTAATTGTGTGTACTTTAGTTTCAGATACACCATGTATCGACGTTCCTACCATACCGGAAGTACTTCCAGAAGTCCTCATGTGCCAGCGGTGCCAAGAACAATTCACAGAAGTTCAAGATTACGTCACGCACAAGGAAGAATGTGACAAAAAAGCCATTAAACACGATGACCCAGCACATTCCGACCCGGAGGATATGGTGGTATCAGAAGACGACGATGATGATGAAGAAACAGGCGGTAAAAGATTAGAACGAATGAGACGGAACAGACAAGACGCTGCGAATAATAACAGCGTTGAAGAGAATTCGCCAGATGACGATAGTCAAAGATTGGAATTTCCGTTTCCTATACCAGCTGCTGCTCCTGGACATGTTACGCTGGAAGCATTACAAAATACCAAAGTTGCTGTAGCTCAGTTCGCAGCTACCGCTATGGCCAATAACGCTGATAATGAAGCAGCTTTACAGGAACTGGCAGTATTACAGTCAACACTATTCACTTTACAACATCAACAAGTGCTTCAGTTGCAATTGATAAACCAATTACAACAGCAACTGCAAATAGATAGACGTAAAGAAGAAGAGGAAGCTACTGCAGGGTCCCCAGCACCTTCCGATAATGAAGTAGAGAATACTCAAGTAGAATCACCGCCTCCTGCTCCTCAAGCGCTACCTGTATCACGGGAACCCACGCCGGCTTCTCTACCTCCTCCTATGCCACCGAATATTCAGCCGTCACCAGCTGTAGAACCACCAATGCCTGAAATTAAAACTCCGACGTCGTTGCCTATGCAAATACAACCTCCAATGTGTTCTATATCTTCGTCTTTAGCATCGACTATTATAACACATAATGATGAACAATTACTAGAAGAACCAAATACATTAGAGATGTTACAAAAGAGAGCACAAGAAGTATTAGACAGTGCCAGTCAAGGATTGCTAGCCACTAACCTAGCAGACGAGTTAGCTTTTAGAAGAAGTAAAGGATCCATGTCTCCTTATGATTCAAAAGGAAGGAATGAGCCGTTTTTCAAACACCGGTGCAGATACTGCGGTAAAGTCTTTGGTTCCGATTCAGCATTACAGATACATATCCGTTCTCATACAGGTGAACGACCTTACAAATGCAACGTTTGCGGAAGTCGATTTACAACAAAAGGAAACCTAAAAGTACATTTTCAACGGCACAGTCAAAAGTTTCCTCATATCAAAATGAATCCTAACCCAGTACCCGAGCATTTAGACAAATATCATCCTCCATTATTGGCACAACTTGGACAACAATCGTCATTATCTCCTGGAGGGCCACCACATCCACCACATTTAGGATTTCCAGGAGGTCCACATTTTCCACCTACATCCTTACCTCTATTTAGGCCGCAAGGTCCTCCTCCACCAGATATTCTCGGAAATCGATTGCCGCCTTCACCACATAGACTGTTAGATCCTCCTCCTCGATTATTTCCTCCACACCCACTTTTTCTTAAACGAGAAGAACAGGAAACGCCGGCAGACTTAAGCAAACCTCCGAGATCACCTTCCCCAACTGAAGATAAAGTTCATATGCCTGAACCTGAAGAAAATAAAGATCGTGAGCCCATGGAAGAGAGTAAGCCACTGGTTAGCACTCCTCAAGTCACACCAAAACAAGAAAATAATTTTATTGAAAATGAGCATGAAAATGAGCATGAACGGTACTCGTCTTCTATAGCTTATGATGAATGTAGTAATAGTAGCAAATATTCTAATGAAGATTTATTAGAACAGAGAAGTCCTGGAGGGGAACCTTCTGAGAATATTCAAGACGAACCTGAAAACTTATCTAGTAGACATAATTCAATAACAGGTCCTTTAAGCATATCAACCGGACAAAGACTACCTGCAAACTTTTCATTTGGACACACTAGCTCTCCGCCTAGCAGTACGTCTTCTGGTAGTTTAGGCCACTTTCCCTCGAATATTTTGCCAGATATCACTAAAGATCCATCTCTTTACACGAACCTATTACCTAGACCAGGTAGCAATGATAACTCTTGGGAGAGCTTAATTGAGGTGACGAAAACTTCAGAAACTAGTAAACTTCAACAATTAGTAGATAATATAGAACACAAATTGTCGGATCCTAATCAGTGTGTAATATGTCACAGGGTTTTGTCCTGTAAAAGTGCCCTCCAAATGCACTACAGAACGCATACTGGTGAAAGACCGTTTAGGTGTAAAATATGTGGCCGAGCCTTTACAACTAAAGGAAATCTGAAAACTCATATGGGAGTTCATCGAGCTAAGCCTCCAATGCGCGTTCTACATCAGTGCCCCGTGTGCCACAAGAAGTTCACCAACGCATTGGTTCTACAACAACATATCCGCCTGCATACCGGAGAACCAACTGATCTCACTCCGGAGCAGATCCAAGCAGCAGAAATCAAAGACTTTCCTTCCCCCGGTGGCTTTCCCAGCCTACCGAATTCCATTCATCCATTCCTTAGCCAAGGGTTTGCCGCTCCCGGTCTTTCGCCCATAAGCGGCTTACCTATGAATATGAGATGTGATCGAGACATCAAGTCAGAGCACGGAAGTATGGACGACGATGACGATGATGATGACGACGATGCGATGAGTTCTTTAGATAACCAACACATGCCACCATTTTCTTCTTCGCCATCGGATATACAAAACACTGGCATGCCTGTGAACACCATAGCTTCTCAGTTTTCTGGAAGTGGACTTAGTTGTTCTGCGGAGGATTTATGTTCAAATCGTACCACAACACCACCACCTATTCAAAACGGCGATAAGTCTCCTAGTCAATCTGGCGTTACTAGTCCTGGGAGTGCTGAATTGAGGTCCTCGCCAAATCATACTCCCGTCCAGGTACGTTATTTTTTTTGCAGTATTTTTTTAATATTCCTGTTAACAAATACCACCATATTTAGCAGCATTTTCGTTAAATTATTCACCTTAAAATTGGCATTTTAAAGTCCATCCTATCAAAGCTGATTTGTATTGATTTTTGAAATTCTCTTGCTGTACTGTGCTTAGAATAATTACTTTTCACGTATTGGAAAACTTACATACATTCAACTTTTATAAGTAGAACTCTTTGAAAAATACTAAAAGTTTTTTTGCACACAGATTCCACGTCCTCCATCATCACAACAGGCCTGCAGTCCAGCACCATCTGACAATTCGGTAGGAGCTTTAGACCTCACACCAAGAAGCCAACCTGCCAATACCAGTCCTGGACCTTCAACGCCAAGTGGAACTCCATCACTTTTTCCTTCGTTTGGACTTTTACCTTCAGGCGGTCAGTCACCTCTCATGACGTCAGCGTTATCGTCGTTGACGTCGTCGGTTTTGACTTCGACATCGTTCAGTCCCTTACGGTTAGCGGTCGGGCCAATTGGTACTTTGGGTAAGTTTTTGTTTTATTTAACGTTTAAATTTCCTAACATAGTTTAATCGTTCTTATCTTATCGTTTTAAACACTTTTCTGACTGACTTTCCTTCACTAAACAATTTCCTTATTTGATTCCTCTCGCCACTTCTGTCCATTTCTTGGATTTGCTGTTCTAGGTAGTTCCTCTTTTTAGTTCTAAATAGTCGCCTTGTTTGTGCTCTTGTTCTATTAAAATCTGCTATGTTCTCATCAGTGGGGTCTTGTAGCATTTTCAATCTATTTTTCGTTTTTATTTCCAGAATTTCCTCGCATGCTTTGTCAAACCATTTCCGTTTTGGGCGAGTTCTCTTTTTTCCAATGGTTTCCTTGGCTGCTTGTTCTATAACTGATGCCACTCTGCCACGCTTTTTCTAACTCTACATTATGCTCTTCCTCTCCCAGCAATTGGAATCTGTTGCTTATTGCCACTTGATAATCCAGTTCTTTGTTTGGTGTTTGCTCCTATGTTCCATATTTCTCTTTTTTCTTGTTGTTCCAGTTTCTGTATTTATAATCGCGTTCTTAACTTAGATTTCTACAGAAAGCAGAGGCGCACCCGGGGGAGGGGTTTGGGAGTTAAGTTAAACCCCGACCCTATTCCGATACTGTTATTTACAAATTTTTAAGGACTTAAAATGGTGGAGGTAGCATAAAATAATTTCGGTGCCCAACCAACCCCCCCCCACCCCCAGAGGAAAATTCTAGGTGCGCTACTTACTGACAGAAAGTGATGGCTGTCAGCTTCTCTTATACTTCGAGAATTAATAATGCTACTAGAGTGTCTTGCGTCAATGAGAACATGGTCTATTTTATGTCGTGTTCTTCCATTATTTGAAACCCATGTGACCTTGTAAATGTCTCTCGAATTGGGTGGATTAAACGATCATGTTATTAGATATTGCGAATTGCATTAGCCGGTGTCCTTTACATTGGTTGTGTCTTTTAAGCTATGCTTACCAATTACTTCTCTTAAATAATCTTCCTTACCTAATTTAGCGTTGCAATCTCCCATCACTATTTTGACGTCGTGTTTTGGAGCAGATACTGTTGGTCTAATAATTTATAAAATGCATCCTTCCTATCTTCTTTGGCATCTTCTGTTGAGAATATTGTGAGATTGAACAACTTTTGAGTCTAATATAGCATATTCGTTCGTTTATTGGCTTGAAATCTATCACTGCTGAATTTAGTCTTCTTGCAATGACAAAACCACATCCGTATTCATGTTTATTCTCACTACCCTGCCAAAAGACTATAGTAACTTCCATTTCCAGAATTCCCGTTGCTGTCCATCTTATTTCCTGTATTGCTGTTATGTCCATGTTATATTTTTGTAGTTGTCTAATGGCTCTCGTCGCTATCCCAGCTCTGTGCCAACTTAACACAATCCACGTTCCTATGCAAATGTCCTTATTTCGTTGCGAGTGTCGTTTATATTTCCTATCCGTCCTCTTCCGAGGAAGTAGTTTCTGTTTCGTGGCTCCAAATTTTTACATGTACGGAACGCCAGTCCATAGCACAACCCCCTTTTCGGAGGACCATTTCACCTGGTCTCGTCAGTTCCCGACCCAACTTCAATTCCACCCGGGTTGGATACTGGATCTCCATTTGGATTGCTCGATTTAACAGGAGGCACCATCTTGAAGTTGAGAGTCGCATTTTAGTAGAAGAGGATAAGTGGATTAAACTGGAAACAACTCAATGTTTTCGCTTTCTACCCGTTTACCTCCGATAAAATCCCATAATTTATAATCATTACACATCTGTTAAAATGTAAAGAATAAAAGAAAATATAATTTTACTGCTTTTTTGTCAAACTATATTTTTTGTGGTTTAAGCAGAAAACATCTGTTTGTTCTGCTATAAAATTTAGAACCAGAAATTTTCTAAATAAATTATTTCCAGGTCCATGTATGCGGCCAATCAAGAATTTTTCAAAACCATGTTTCAAAAATAAAAAATGAGGTTACACCTTTTTATAAATCGTTTGTATGTAAACAAAAATCAAAATATTTTGATAAAGAGAACTGTCTTTCTATTTAAGAACTCAGGATTTAAACTCATGGATGTATTTTTGGATATTAAAAGCATTTAAATTGTTCCATTTTTTGTGAAATCGTCAAGAGTTTTTTATTTTGGGGTCATATTTAAAACAGAACATAAACATCATGTATTTTTAAATGTTCTTACCATAATAATCCAGTAAGTTTAGTTCCTTACAGTAAAAATTGGAAGATGTTAGTTAACGTCGCGTCTTGCCATGAATTTTCCACAACTATTTTCAAAACTCCTTGATTTCTTTAACTTTATTAAGTCATTTATTTTATGGCAATATGTTAGTACTTTACAAATTTATCTTTCTACTATCTTTTTTTAATATAAAATTTCGTTGTACTTTATTATAAAATTTTAAATGAACAAGGCCGCGTTGCTCGGAGTCGGAGGAGATGTGAGGTGGACCCTGTTAATCTTATCACATAAACAAAAAAAATGGAGAGAAGAAAAATGAGATGATAGCTACTGGATAAAACAAAAATTATAAACAATTTGCCAAAAACGAATTTTATATGAGGGACAAGAAAAACTCCATTTCTTTGTTTCACTATACTTGCTTTAACTGTAGACTTTTCTGATTCTTTTAACAAAAGAATAACTGCTTCTCGGCGAACAAATTGATAAATTACGGACACTGCTTCACCCCCATTCCCATAAACAGACAAGTGGAAATATTAAGGAACTCAACAACAAAATAAAAAAAACTAAAAAAAACTTAAAATACTTTAATTGTGGACGAACAAACACCGAAATTTTTACTATATTTTAAGGGCTAAACGGGACATGGTTAGTACTGGGACAAACCCAAGAACCCCGCGAAAAAAGCCAGTCCCCCGTCTTTTTTAAAAGCTCAAGCGGGAATGAATGAAAAATCGACTCACGGTGTCTACCTAGCAAGCGATTGGTTGGGCTTGGAGGAAGCTGCCAGAGGCATTTGGTTAATCAATACAACCACTTTTAATTCTCTTACCGAAAGTTTACAGTGTAAACAAATAATTTGTTGTTATTTCTTCCAATCGACGTTTTTGAGACGCAATTATTATTGAGAAAGCATTTTACCCAAGGCAATTTGAAAATAAAAACTTAAATTTTGTATATTCTCGTTCGAAAAGACACTAAAGTGTCTTTTTACTAAGATTTTTTAAAACGCGATGTTTTTATAATAATCTTCTTCTTCTTATTCTTGGTTATTCCATTTTTTTTTCTATTTTGTGTCCATTCATTTATATACAGTATATTATATTATGCACGTTACATTTTCTTGTAATATCTTTACTTCTCTTTCGATCTCTCAGCGTATTTCCTGTAATTCTTCTCAGTACTCTCATATCTGCCGTTTCCAGTAGCCTTTGCATTGTAGCTGTGTCGGGTCTTGTTTCTGAGGGATATGTCATTATTGGTCTTATACTGGCTTTATAAATTCTTGCTTTTATCTCAGTGTTAATGTGTTTCGCCATATCGTGTTATAAAGGCATCCTGCCAGTCTATTTGCTTTTTGTACTGGATCTCTCACCAGTATCTTTGTCCAGGTCTCCATAGCTAGACAGTATAATTCTCATGTATTTTATTTTTATTACTTGTTCAATACTGATGCCAATCAATTTCTATTTTACGACTGGTTGGTTCCTTGCTGACTACTATTCTTTTAGTTTTCTGAGATGAGATTGTCATATTAAATTCTTTTGCTCTTGTCGACCAGTCTTTGTCCAGATCCTCATCTTGTGCTATCCATATTGTGCGTAACAGAGCATTTTGATTTCTTTGTTTTTCATTCTGTATCCTCTTCCTTTGTTAACGTTTTTAATGATTTTATCCATGACCAATATTGAAGAGCATGGGGCTCAATGAATGCTCTTGTCTTATTCCGCTGCCTATTTCTATAGGGTCTGTAAGTTGGTAATTTATTTTGGGTACTCGTCTGGTATCCCGTCTTTATTTGCTGCTTTCTGTTCTTCAGGTTTTCAAGTATTTTCCGAACTTCCTGTTCATTTATATTAAGTTCGTTTGTTCTTCCTCTGAATAAAGATTATTTAGGTAGTTAATTCACGTATCCTTTTCTATATGTTTTGTTTCAATTAGTTTCATTACCTCCGTTCTTTGACCTCTTATTTCCTCATATTTGGACTATGTTGAGGATAATTTGAGAACGATAAAGATGCTGAAGAAGAAGAATACTTATACTCTTATTCAGTCAGGATTATAAGAATAATTATACTCCTTATAATCCTGACTTTTACCATGTGACTATCGTCCGTTTGGTACATTAAAAGAGTATTTGTTCATTTTGAACGGATAGATATAGATTGTTGTTAAGAAATGGAATAATATATTAATGTTACTGGAGAATATTTTTAAATTTTATGAAGACAAAGTGGTTTACAGTTTCTAAAGGCCCAACTATAATGTCGTAGTAGTAAAAGTAGTTCATTTAGGGAATCAAAAAATTGAAAACACATACGACACATAAAGAAAACAAAACAAACTGTTTTTCACATTACTATCACAATGTTTTCCTTCTTTTTCCGAATTTATTTTTAATCTCTATTTACTAAAAACTTAAAATATGTTTAGAGGTTTTCTTTTTCGAAGTAGTTAAAGACGCCTGGATTAGCGCCGTATTTTTAAATATTGTTTCCGAAATGTGTCTGAAAATAAACCACAAATGGTTAATGTATTAATTTTTATAGCCGCACCATTTCAAACAATTATTTAGTTATTCTGAAAACAGTCGTTTAGTTTAACTTATAAAGTCGTAAATTATTTGAAGAAATGTAAACGGACTGTTAAATGACGTAAATATGTTCTAATGTAATACCTGAATCTGCTTTAACTCACTAATTTACTCTTCATTTTATAAATATATGTTTTCTTGAAAAACTATTTTAAATACGATAATAGCTGGATTTATTTTCAAATAAACA